TTCTTTGAGCCAAAATCACCTGCCAAAGGAATCCCTCATGTCACAGAAAAAAAGTTTTCTTTAACTGACCTCCTACACTTAATCCCTGTGTGAGAGCAGCCTATTGGAAGCATGGCCTTGGGCCCATGTCGTAGAGGTAGGCATGGGGACAAAGAGAGAGATGGGCAAGTGCAGGGAAAAAAATGGTGGGAGCTGAGGAGGAGACTGGAGGCCAGCAAACAGAAATAACGTGGTTGTGAAACAGGGTTCAATAGAAGCAAAGGGTGGGTGATGCTGATTATCACAGGTTTAATTAAAATCCACTCCTTCGAAACATCTACTTAAAAATACAATGGATATGCTCTTGACATCCAAAATCTCTGGAGCTGGTACTCTCAGCTTTGCAGGTGAAATATGAAAGAAAATATTTTGCTAGATAGACAAGCTCTTATCCTACATCCCTTCAGGTTACCAGCCTCCTGAATCTGCAGCTGTCATCATGAATGAGTGCAATGGTAGGATGGGATGGAAGGAGCAACATTTCTAAGTCACCCAAGAAGAATACCAAGGAAGAGCAAAGTCAAACCCACATTGTCCAAGTAAGCAGAAGCCATTTATTCATTTATTCAATCAATCTTTTTTTTAAAGATTTATTTATTTATGAAAGAGAAAGAGAATGGGGAGGGGGGCGCAGAGCAGAGAGAGAGAAGCAGACTTCCATTGAGTGCAGAGCCCGACAAGGGACTTGATCTGATGATCAAGAGATCATGACCTGAGCCGAAATCAAGAGTCAGACATTCAACCTACTGAGCCACTCAGGCGCCCCTCAATCAATCAATCTTTATTGTCATCAACTGTCATCAGCTAGACATTAGTGTTCTGGTGATACAGCAGTGAACCATTCAGAAAAGATCTTCCCCTCATGGAGCTTACGTTCCAGTTGAACAGACAAACAATAAAGGAATAAACAAAGAGATTGAATAATATGTAACTTCAGAGATCAATCCTTGAAGGCAATCAAGCAGGGTCATAGGATACGGGATGATGATTTCATCCCACACAAGTGGTTAGGAAAGGTCTTTCTCAAGAAGTAATGATTGAGCAATAGCCATGATTAGAGTTTTCTCCTTTCCTGATGAAGAGTGTAATTTGACTCCAGCTATTCTAGTTCCTCCTGGCTCAGAATAATTGCATGTCAACTAACACAACATCCACTTGATATTGACCTCATTCTCTATCTACCATCTGCTCAAGAGCTAGCAGATTACAGATAAATACATTGAAGCAGAATAGTCTATGCTAGTTTCTTTGTTCCAAGGGCAATTGTTATTAAAAAAAAAAAATCCCTGCAATATTTTTGGGGAAAATAGTAAATTTTTTAAAATAGTGATAATTAGAATCCTATGAATATGTAAACAAGACCACAGGGATTTTTAAATTTTTTACTTTTTTTCTTTAAAAACAAGTTACTCCTTTTATTTTCTCTCAAGATATAAAATGTGCAAAATAAAAAAGTTCTTGCACATTTAGGTTTCTACAATTTAAGCATTACTATCTTGAGTTATTAAATTCCATCTGATTTTGGATAATAAGGTTGATAAGGTAGCTCATATACAAAATATGAGAGGCCCAGAAAGAACTAAAACCCTCTTCCTTTTTTGTTACACACAGGATTTAGATATTTAACCTGAAGCAAAATAATTCATCATTTTGGCTTTGACATAGTGACTCAATTATTGTATCATATAAAAATATTATATTATTGTCAAGCCAGGTTTACCAGCCATCTATACGAAATACATAATAAGAAAGATGATCTCTTTCCCGGGCGCCTGGGTGGCTCAGTCGTTAAGTGTCTGCCTTCGGCTCAGGTCATGATCCCAGGGTCCTGGGATTGAGTCCCACATCTTTTGGGCTCCCTGCTCGGCAGAAAGCCTGCTTCTCCCTCTCCTACTCCCCCTGCTTGTGTTCCTGCTCTCGCCATCTCTCTCTCTGTGTCAAATAAATAAATAAAATCTTTAAAAAAAAAAAGGTGATCTCTTTCCCATTAATTATAAAAATCAATTTTATAACATGACTCCAATCACTGGAACATGATGACAAATACTAGCTCTGCTTTCTTCGTAATCCTCTGTAGCATGTCATACTTCGTAGAAGTCAAGCACAAAGCCTCCAAACCTGCCTGTGATATGTAATAGTCCTACTATGGCAATCTACTTTGGCTTTGGTCTACAATCACTAAATTCTTTACCTTAATTTCAGGGTAGGTTCTACTGTAAACACTTGGGAAGCTATGTCTCAAATCCCTGATCATGGCTACAACTGCAGAGAGGACACTGTTCCTGTCTGTTCTCCTAAGTGTCCCCATGTCCAAGCTGCCACTAAAATAAAAGGTTCAAATGTTAGTTAAGTAGTATATTCTCTGTTCTGTGTTGTATTTAGGAGAGGTTACAAGAAATCTGCTTTTAGGTATTTCAGGATCACTTGTTCCAGAAGTGTCTCAATCCTCTGCTAATAATCAAGTAGACCAGGGCAGATTGGCCACTTTGTGGCATATGTGGATTTTTCTCTTGCTTTTTCACCATTAAGGAAGTCCAGGCCACCAATATAGGAGGAAGAGCAGTCTTTCATAAGCCTACAGCCATGCAAGGCTTCTGATTTTCTTTCTGATCACACTTCGGTGATTCCTTCACAGCAAATTCAATGAAGGGTGGTAAACTGGTGCTTCAGTATTTCCAGTGAATCCTATGCCAGTCTATCACACAAGCTCCTTTCCCAAATCCTGTGGCCCTGTCTCTTCCTGGCCCATGCTAGTCGGGGCAGAGGTTTCAAGCAGAATGGAAGACAGGCTATTAACCAATCTGCTGGTGGGTAGCCATGCTGTCCTAGGAGGACAGGATGGGCAGCTGATGCTGCAGCCGGAGAATAGCAGGCAGCTACACACCCCTTTCCCTGCCCTTCCCTGTCCCCACTGGACACTTCCTCCGTTCAATCGAATTATCTTTCCCTTGTAACCAATCTACCACTTTTGCTCGTGCCATTTTAAGTTTGTTTTTCTAGCCTTAGAGTTTGGGAAGGTCGATTTCTCTCCCTCCATATTGTTTTTCATCAATTCTGTTTCATTAGCCCAGTAGGTCCTTTTACAACTGAAAGGAAGATCTAAAGATCTGAAAGATTCACATTATGGAAGGGCAAATTTTCTGGAAGTTTTCTTTGATTATTTCTTTAATTACTACTTCGCCATGGCGCCTTTTTCCCCTTCTGTATTAGCAACTGTTTCTACGTTGGGTCTCCTGGATGAGTTTTCCTGTTTTTCTCATGGTTGTAGTTCATTCTCCGAAACCCGAATTCAGCCTTAGCTGAATCTCATGTTCCTCTATTGAATTTTTAAATTGGGGAACCCCTGTTTTCAGTTCTAGGAAACTCTCTCTGGTCTTCTAATAATATCCCTACAAGAGTTTAAATCATATTCTATCCAGATTTTCCTCCATTTTCCATGTTGGCTCCGCCTCCATAACAGAGGTTTATTGTCGTTTTCCACCATGTCAGCCTCTTTTGCTTTCATCTGAGCTGCAATGTTCCCATGACGTGGTTGTGACGTTTCTCTGTCTCTTCACATGACAGTGTGCTGGCTTTCAACACCTGTGCGTCTCTCTGGTTCTTTCCTGCATACTGACAGGCAGGGGAGGGATTTTTCCTTCGGTGGTTACCCAGCGATCCCCATGGTCACTTTGTGAAAGCCTCTCAGTTCACAAATCCAAGGAGGGATAGGCTGACCTTAGCTCAACATGGAAACTACCCCTCCTAAGATGCCGTCAGGCAAGGGACAGCCTCTCACCGATGCATCCTGCAAACAGAAGAGACGTTCTTTCCTTCCCCCAGGTCAGCCGGCCCTTCCCATGCACCCCCTCCATAGTCAACGCCCATCAATTCCAGCAACTCCCATTTACATTTTGCCCCCCATTTGCACCTTCTTTCAGGAACTTGATATCTCACTGTGTGTGGAACCTCGTTGGTTTGCCAAGGTCAGCCCCTGACTTTTTCTGGATGGCTGTATTCTCCAGGATGGGAATGTGAAGCCAGGTCACCATCTTTCCAGAAACTCACATCCACACATTTTAAAAGCATTCTCAGTTCTTAGGAAGATAACACGCTGCTGGAAGATGAAATCGTATTATTATTGCTTTCCTAAATCACCACTCTAGAAATAAAATATATATGGAATTGTGTGGTAGTACAAAAATAGATTGGGATAAGGTCACACAAATATGTAGCTTTTGTAATATTCATTAAATGCTCACTTTTGATTTACCAGCCTCATCACTCATCTGGTTACTATAAAATGGCTCCAGTTATTAGCTAACTTTTCATAATAGTAATGATAGCTAACATTTACCAGCTATCTACTACGTGTCAGGCCCTGAAGTAGGTGTTGTGTATGCATAAAGTTATTAAATTCTCAGGAACCCCTATGAAATAGGTACCATTCTTTCCAACATATTATAATATAGGAACCAAGGCTTTGGGAAGTTAAGTAACTTACCAAAGTCACACGGCTAGTAAAATTATTTATTTCCTTAATTAAATAATGAGCTACTTTAAAATAGCTCATGTATCATATTTTCTTGCATCCCCAACTGTGCTTGGCACTCAGGCCCTCAGTAAATAAACAGTAATTGAGAGAAGCAATGTTTTATTCATACTTGATCTCTAGAAAACAGTGCTATAAAGTGGATGCTCCAGAAATGTTTTAACTATAAAATAAGGAATTAACAATCTACCAAGATTTAAGAAACAAATTCACATAAGATGACCTAAAGTTATTTATACAGAGGACTTGACTCTCGGCCACTGACCCGGGTTGCTGGAATCCAAATATGTACAAAATATTGCCTCTGTCCTTAAAGAACAAGCAGTCTGAAGGGAAAGCAGATATGTGAACAGTTAAATATAATAAAATGCAATTGTTCTTAATGCCTATATAAAGTGCTATGGTGTTACCCGTGAAAAAATATTAATTTTTCCAGTAAGATCATAAGGTTTTCGCTTCTCATTAATTAACAATGGAATCAGACATAGAAATAAACACTACTTTAAAGGTTTTTTTATTAGAAAGTTTATTGCATTAATCTATCCTCATTTGGTGATATAAATGACAATGTAAGCTAATACTGACCGAAGTTTACCATCTTTGGAAAATAGAGATATTTTCACACTGAAAGCATTTTTGTATTTGCTACAATCAGGAAAATTCTAACGTATTTGGTTTTTTTTTTCCTTTTAAAAATATATGTTGCAATTTGCTCATATCAAAAGGATCCTGGATTAAATACTGAATGAAAACAAGCAGACCTGGTGTTAGGTCACCACTAGTCAGAGGACCCTAGAAGGCTCGTTTGCCGTACATCTTTAGTGAAGAAATAAGCACTCATCCACACCATGTGACTCACACGGGCACATCTGTATACACTTCAATGACGTAAAGCCTTTAAGATCAAAATATCTATTAAATACTGAGTTGGATAATAAAGACATTACCCGAAGATAGGAGATTTGTTATTTTAAAAAACATAACCTTAAAATGCAATTTTTATGACTTCATCTTATTCTAAGTGGTAACTGGACTTCTAATGTTGACATGAGTTAGTAGTGTAATGCTCCCGTGCAACTTTTTCAGTATTTATGGTTTAAAACCCCCCAATAATTGTGAAGTACTTCTGTAGCTCTTTGGATGGACCACATTTTCATAAGGTGGTTTGCATTTCTCACAGCACACAGTGGTTGTGCTAACAGAATTGGTTGGGACAGGTTATAACTATCTTACAAAATTCTACATTGGCTTTCCTAAAATTGGTGAATATAATTTACCATAGAGATAATGCTAAACATATTACATGCTCTCTTGGCATAACGACTGTAGCATGTGAGAGGAATTTATATCAAGCATTGTAAATAATTATGAAATATTCCTTATCATATAATTCACTATAAATAACATATTCTCCAAATTACAGCAAGTACATAAGCTATTAGCTGGGCCACTTTTTTTTTTTTTAAAGATTTTATTTATTTATTCACGAGAGACAGAGAGAGAGAGATAGAGAGAAGCAGAGGGAGAAACAGGCTCCCAAGGAGCAGGGAGCCCGATGTGGGACTCGATCCCAGGACCCTGGGATCATGACCTGAGCCGAAGGCAGACGCTTAACCATCTGAGCCACCCAGGTGCCCTAGCTGGGCCACTTTTGATGTATTTATAGATAAATAAAAATAGTTTATAAATTTTCTGACATACCATCCTCTAGGGAAAGAAGAGTTTGGCTGACATTCCTACATGAATGGCTTTTCCTTGGTATTGCCAAGCTCATTCACTGCTCTGACCACTGTAGGATATGAGGAAGAAATTAATTTTAGGGTCCCAATGAATGAGCTCAAAGGTCAAGAGAATAGAGTCACGGTGTATAAAGAATTACCTCACCATTAAATTACATTAGATATATCTGGAAGGGTCCAAAGGTGGCAATTTCAGGGGGGAAAAAAAACTTGCCAGGTCCTTTTGTCTTTTAATTTTCATTTCGACAAATGAAGTTCTCTCTTTACCCAAACCTAGATCAAAATATCTAGGAAGCTTTGACTTCTCAACTGTACCTCTCCAAATACACTATGTCATTTTTACAATATCCAAAATGCTATATGGGTTCTGGTGTTTGAAAAATCTTGAGTGAACTCTGGTGAGCAAAACTCACCTCTGATACAAATGTGGTGTCAGGACAGCATCAATCCCGAGCAACTGGTCTACCAGAGAGAATGCACAGGAAGCGATATCAGTGCCCGTTCGGAGTCCACATCTGCTGCTCAGGCTTTCTGCTTGAGATGCTCTTGTCTTTGCACAGGAAGCTTTCAGGGTTTTAGTGTTTTTGTTTTTTGGGGTTTTTTTTGTAGTGTAATGAGAAAAAAAAATTTTTTTTTTTTAACTCTATCGAGGACATTATGGGGAGACTCAAATGTATCATGGAACAGTAAAGAGATGATGCTTAAACGAGAAGGGGAAAAAGACTTTTTTTCTTACCAGAAAGGACTTTTCGTGGCTAGTGACCCACAAGTGTCTCAGTTAGATGCCTACCCACCCCCTGAGCCAAGGGTCAGCGAAAGGATAACTGTTGGAATGAATCAATTGTTTCTAAGATGTGTTCCAGGTAATTTCATATGTCCTTGAATTAACTTTGGGGTTCTCAATAAGAAACAACCATCAAAGGAGTGAATGTTCGAGGTGTGTTTGTTCTATCATCTCCCTGATCAAATCACCACCACAGGGGCAGGTGTGTGATGTGAACTCATTGGATACCGCAACTTGATAACTGGCAGGGACAATGCCTTATGTATGTATATTACCGGCAGAATGGGTGCACAATACATATATGTCAACTGATTCACTGAGACACCATATAGGGTTTCCTGTCTTTAAAGATTCACAGCCACAGTTTCCGCTCATGAAGTTGCTTCCTCATGCAGCCTTTCAGCCCTTCTGCTTACTCAGGTAAGTCAAAGAGAAGCTGGCTTTTTTGCATCAGGTTGGCATTCTCGAGACAACCACCTTGAAATGAAAAATGTTACTGCGTGACAGGTGTGCACAGGTTGAGTATCCATTCTGGTTTGCTTGGGACAGTCCAGATTTAAGCCCATTGCAGGTTAAATATTAATAATGCCCTCATTTACACTCAAAAGTGTCCCAGTTTGGATGATCAGTTGTGGGATCATCCCAGTGAAGGTCTTCATTAAGACCAGTACTTGCTCAATAACCAACAGCTCCTGCCTCCCCTAACCCCCTGGCTTAGCCAAGACTCAGAACCCACAGATCAAAAGGAGCTCCATTTTGGAATATTAAAAAGCTTCTCTAGTTCAATTATAAGCCATTCATCTATGGTTACTTTACTATTTAAGTAATGACCGATTTTTAATAGGTTTGATTTATATACTTACGTCTCCTCCCTCCAAAAGAAAAAAAGAACAATGCATTTTTATCAAGCAAAAAGATAAGTGGCAATAATACAAGAACCAATGGACATATAATATAATTTTTTTCATTAACAATCCAAGCACTACAAAACATAGAATATACAACTTAAAAATGGAAATACAAATTAATGAAAAATGGGGTACATGTCATATTAGCAATGCAAAAGACCAGCTTAAGCATAAATCAACAATTAATAAAAGGAAAGTGCCCTTTTCTCAAATATGCACAAAAATATTCCAGTCACTTCTAAGGAAAAATTAATCAAAACTTTCTACTAATTCTATATTACAGTATGAGTTACTAATGGTTTACAAAACCGAAGCATCTTCTTACACTTAAAATTTACAACCTTTTCCAATCATTATACACTTGTTCAATCCAGTCTCTCAAAAATAAAACTATTTCATTTCCATATTTATGAAATAATTATTGATATGTTATGGACCTTAAGTGGTGAATATGTACGATGGGGACAGTGATCAGAATGACCTCATGGATCAAAAGTGGGCCAAGGGTCGAAGAAGACAACCCTCTGCCAGCCACACCTGTATACTGATTCCTGAAATAATTATACTATTTCTAAAATAATTCTAATTTTTCATTTCTTCATCCTAAAACAGGTCTAAAGTCTTCATATTTAAATGTGCTAACCAATTCTAGAGTTTACTCAAAGTCTCTCCAGGTATGCCACTTGACAGAACATTTCTTCCTGGGTTCATATTATCCCTATAATTCTGAGTCCAGCTGAAAAAAAATAAACATAAGGACTCGATAATATGCCCCTTCTCTTCTACACGCTTAGTGATTCACACTAGATTTTACGACAAACTGCACAATCCTTGGTACAGCTCTGCAATGCAAATGAGAAAGAAAATATTGAAATTGTCATCGTTCAAACCATACTGCCAACGGCCACCGCACCCCATGACTCCCTCCCAAGGACCTCTGCACGTTCATGCTTTTAGCCCAGATTTTATAGGAATTTGCGCTTCACGAGTGCAGTTCTAAAACTAAGAAGAAGAGGAAGTCACATTGATATCTCCTTCTGAGCCACCTGTATAAGGAGGACCTACGGTCAGTCAGCCTCAGCTTTGAGCTTTCTGGTTCATGTCCGACAGTTGCCTACCAAGTAGATTAACATTCACCTAAGGTGGCAAACTTGAGGATGGAGAAGAACCGAAGTGCAGTTCTGGAAACTGTTCCAGCGGCTACCGAGCCGTCCTTTGGTGTCATTCGCTGCTGATGCTGCTGCTGCTGCCACTGTCCTCTCGCTTGGGGGAGGAGGAACTGTCTCGGACTGGCAGCAGGTCATAATGGCAAGGGATGTGACTGTTCTTTGGGAGGTCGTATGGATCCTGGGTGAGATGCCCATTATTGCTGAATATTCCTTGGACAACACTCACTGTAGGTTCTGTGACAACCAGGGACACATTAATTTATCAGCAATGGAATATTTTAAACAGAATAGAATATGGCATTTCTTGCGAATCTCAAACATATAAGAGGAGCACTTCCAAAAATGTAAAGAAACACTATTTTAAGAAACAAAGGATGGTTTTATAATCACATCGAGGTGGGTACTCCATGGCTGTTAGACCAGCTGATGCACACAATGGCGTTCTGAACAATAAGGTGACCGTAGGGTTGGGATGAAGACATCCAGGGACAAGACAGAAACCCTGGATGTGAATCATCGTCTGAAAAGCACCTTGTAGGTAATCTAGTCCAGAGCCTTTATCCCATAGGTGAGACTGAGGTCCTTTCAGGGTAACTCAATTCATGGAAATGCTTAACAAGTTCACTTTAGGACTCAGGACCCAGGCTCGCAGTTGCGTTCCCATATTAAAGTGTTGGGTTTACCAGATGGCTCAGGGGGTTTGTGACTGACTTTTAAAAATGAACTTAGGTCACTCACTACACCTTCCATTTTTTTTTTTTTTTTAAAAAGCTGTCTTAACTCATAAGAATAGTTATTCATCTTTTCAGTGTCATGTCTGTGGCATAAATTAAGTACTAGTGACTAGAGTTAAATTAGCCACTTCATTTATAAGTAATAGAGAAGTTTTTAAAGTTTAAATCATAAACTTGAGAGAGAGGGAAAAAAAATTAAAATACATAGCCCTACTCTACCCACCCAGTGACAGCTCTGATGTGTTTTAACTTTCCTGAAATGGTATTTGTAAGGAGCAATCAAAACAATTCTAATTTTAAATTGAATTCTTATTAATTTCCAGCCCATTCACATCCAAGAATATGAGCAATATATCAGACAAATTTAAAAGTAAAATGTTTCCATCCTGCTAAAAGCATTATATTAACGTAATGAATATGCAACCAGGAAATGGAACCACCTGTTTCATGCCCTTGAACCATTTGCTTAGGCTAACTCAACACAAGAGCTAATGTGAGACATATGCTATTCCACAGGTGTGCTCAAAGAGTCACTATGGTTACAAAACAAAAGGTGGACAGCCAGGTGAGAGATAAGGAAAATTTACTTTAAATTTTCTAAATGCTATTTCCCTTAAAAATTTATTTGACACCAATTAATAGGATCACTGAAAACACAGGTCGCACTGAAAATACGGACCAGTGTCTTCAATAATGTTTATACGAACTGTTATTATATGCTCAAGGACTTTTAAACCATTTAAAAAAATTCCTATATTAGGTTCTTCCTTTGGTTAGGGGAACTCACCAACTTCATAGACATTCTTGTTGGCTGAAGTTGAGTTATTGATCTCTGCATAGGGGGAATCTCTCCGTGCTGGCGACTTCATCTCCACATAGCCACACTCTGAGTTTTTCGGGATAAGTACAGGTGGGTCTTTAATAGTGGCATATGGATTTTCAGAACTGCTTAGGGAGCAGTTACTTGAATTATATTCAGAATTCTTGCCCAAATCTGTAAAGAGAGATGGGGGAGAAAAGCAAATACTATTTTATGGACAACATTAATTTTTTTCTTGGGGGTAATTCACTCGGACAGGTTACTTCTTTCTCTTTGTAGCTAGATTTCTATAATTACATATACCGACAACAATACCATACATTTCCACTTATTTTGGAGAGAATCTGCTGTAAAATTACCCATCTATAAAGTAATTTTAGCTCCTCTCTCAGGTGAGTATCTATGTGAACATTGTGGATTTGATTTCATTTTGATTTCGTTTCACACTCAAAATTAATTCCATTCTAACTTACTAATTGTCTCTGAATTCTCAGAGGTTTCAGTCAAGAAACCACCTGTGGATACCCCTGGGAGCACAAGAAAGTTCTATCATGGTGGTGAGGGAGGCTTTTGTGACGTGAGACTTCCTTGTAAAACCTCAGGACTGGGCACATGAAGTTATTCATGTAACCATGCTGAGCTCTTGTTTTCCTGCTATTTCCTTTTGTGTGTGTGTGTATTTCTCTCTCTCCGTAAGTCTTACATCTTTTCAAAGAAATATGAGTGTTTCCCCAGCAAACGGAAACCTTTGTTCCCCTAGACTTATGCTCTAACGCCATGCACCCATGGTCACGCTCTTGACCTCAGTCAAACATGTTTGTGTGTTTGGTGGGGTAATTAACCACACCAACAACTGTACATTTTCTCTACACTGCCACTCTTGCTTGTTTAGCCAACTATTTCAGTCTCTGAAATAAATTGTTTTTAAAATTGTGGCTCTGATAGATGTATTTCTTCCTTAAATTTACACCATACCTTTCAAGGATTTTCCCATATAACTTCTGTCAAGTCCAAAAGCTCCTGTGATAAAGAAGAAAAAAATCTGCAGTGAGATCTGGAAACAAGAGAAAACCCATCTAATATTCCAAGGTCATGGAGGAGGATGGTTTGGGCACCCACTATCTCCCCACTGCAGGAAATAACCAAGGCTGTTGCTTTTCAAACCTTTGCACCAGGTCGCTCATGCTTGATGTCTTCAGCACTTAGAATTTAAAGTACATATATATATCATTCTGATCATCCTCCTGCTCATTTATAGTGACTTTGGGAAAGGCTGATCAGTACAAGTAGAAAATAAGGCATGGGCGAATCGGTACACTTGATTCAAGGTCACACCATGGAAAGGACACAGCTAGGACTAGCATTGAGACAAAGGACTTTGATTTCATCACTCGCTCACCGCATGACTTTGGGCAAGATGTTCAACTCTCTCTGGGTCAATTTTCTTATCCCTAAAATGAAGAAAACAAAATCTGCCTTCCAAACTTTACAGGGCTGGTGTGATCATTAAGTGAACTAGGGCACACGAAAAGGCATTGTAAACTCTGAGGTGCTGTATAAATGAATGGTGTTTCAGTGACTGTAACACTAAATGTGTCCTACGACCCCAGCTCCAGTCTACATGCAAGCATTCCAAGGCCTCTTTCCTGATCTTTTATCTTTTTTTTTTTTTTTTAAAGATTTTATTTATTTATTTGAGAGAGAGAGAATCAGAGAGAGCACATGAGAGGGGGGAGGGTCAGAGGGAGAAGCAGACTCCCTGCTGAGCAGGGAGCCCGATGCGGGACTCGATCCAGGGACTCCAGGATCATGACCTGAGCCGAAGGCAGTCGCTTAACCAACTGAGCCACCCAGGCGCCCCTTTCCTGATCTTTTAAATGGAATGCTATAGACTTACATTAGAAATAGAGAGTAAAGTAATGACTTATGACAAATATTCAAATAAGTAGGAGAATGGTAAGGAGACAATCACCTGCCACTGTGCATGTGCCCCTTAGAGTGATAGTAGACTCAAGTTAGGATGTCCTGGGGGACACACTTCTGTGAAGAAAGAGGGAGCATCCCTTAAGGGGAGAGGGTGTGTCTAATATCGTGGGATAGGAAATAGGAATGTCCTCCTTTCTCAGAGAATGTTTTCCTCTCTCGGATCTGCGTTGTGAAGTCTAGCCAAGCTCCCACCTGGTGGGAAAGGTGCCCTGTTATGCAGGGAGGCGGGATAAGGATGAATAGTGAATTAACCTAATGAAAGTGAGGTCTGGCCCTTGCCCTTAGTTCCTGGGAGGTGATCTCTAAGTCCTTGGAATATCCCACCCAGTAAGAGTGTTTTTGTTTACCTGGGGCCTAGGGCTACACTGGATAATGTAACAAAGTGATTTATGAGAGGGGGTTTGGGCCACTTAGTGTCAGCTCCATCTCCAGATGGGCCAGTTGAAAGGTCAACCACATGGGTGGTCAACCATGCTGACCTAACCAAACTCTCATAAAAACTCTAGACACCAAGGCTGAAGCCAGCTTCCTTGGCTGGCAATACTTCATGCGTCTTGTCATATACTGTAACCAGGAAAAGTTAGCACTTTCCATGATTCCACTGGGAAAGGACAACTGGAAGTTTCTGGCTTGGAACTTCCCTTGACTCTGCCCACTGTGTCTCTTCCCTTGGCTGATTTTCTTCTGTATCCTTTGGCTGTGATAAACTCTAACCATGAGTCTGACAGCTTGCAGTGAGTTCTGTGAGTCTTTCTGTGGAATTATGGATCCTGAGGGTGGTCTTAGGGATTCCCAGACTTTGTAAAGGGACCACATGAAGATGGGTAGGACCTGTGGCCTCTGAGAGCTCCCTATCAGGGAACTCTGTCTTTGCTACTCTGCCAGATTCACTCAGCTGTCTCCAAACTGTAGCAAAACCTTGTTAGTTGTCTGTCTTGGTCTTAACTGTGCAACGGCTAGCATTCCCCAAGAGGCTAAGGAGAGGAGCAGCCTGAGGTGGAGAGTAAATTAGGGAACAAGAGTGGCATTGTCATACCAGTACCCCTGCCAGGTTTTCTCTGGGGGCTGTTTTAATGAGGGAGCAGGCGGTTTTCCTCATATAAACTCCCATATGTTCCAATCCCTGGATAGATGCTTCCAAATGCTTGGCTTAATCTAATTCATACAATGAGTCACAACATGATCACTGTCTCTGTGTCACAAATGAACTGATCCGCTTCGTGGGATTGATGAGCCCGGCGTCATAGAACAGAACCAGGAATCAACCTTAGGGCTTTTGTGTCAGGCTCGGAGCTCTTTCAGACAGCATCCCAACAACTTTGCCATCATGTCAAACACCTACACATTTCAGCATCCATAGTGTGCCTTATCCATAGTGTGGTAGACAGAAACACTCTTACTGGCTGGGATATTCCAAGGACTTAGAGATCCATAGTGTGTCCTTTGTAAAGGAAGACTTTCTGGGCAACAACTGTAAAGGGACATTACATGCAGAATTGCTCTTGGATGGAAACATGTGAAGGAGACCCAGAATTTCCAATGAAGATTTTACATTCTCAACAATCAGTCTGGTGCGTCTTACTGAGACAAAAAGCAGAGAAGTTTATATGTGACCACTGCCGTGACTGTGTTCTAGAGTCTGGACCAAGTGTAGCAGGTGAAGGTGGAATAAGAGAACTTTGCTTTCATTAGTGCCAGGTAGTACTTTACTAATATCAATTCATGTATCTTTTGATGCTACATTACTAATGTCATGTAGACTTAAAAAAAAAAAAATCTCTGATGTTAAATGATTTGACCTATAAGTATACTGTGAATCTGGTATCTAAATAATTTGTGTTCAGAAATGCCCAGCTATTTGATAATGTGGATATAGAATGCAGATAGAAGTTAAGAATTTGTATTCATTTTCCTACTTTAACATTTGCATTTCTATAGTAATAGGGGATTCCAGAGCCCATAAGGATTAGTTCCTACATCTGGCTCAGGTGATTTGGCATATATGGTGTTCCCAGAAAGAGCAGGGGAGGAGTAGTTGGAAGACGAACTTTGAGACCTGATTTTACCCTCTTCCTTCCATGAAATCCTGGGCAACCTCTCTGTGCTTCCCAGTTTATTCCTTTAAAAAACCAAGATTCATGGAAGGGCCTACCCAGTAGGGTTGTCAGATTCACCAAATAAAAACAAAGGAAGGACGTTTCAATTTGAATTTCAGAGAAACAACAAATAATTTTTAGGGTGGGTATGCCCCATGCAACTTTTGGGATATATTTATACTAAAAATATTTGCTGCTTATCTGAAATTCAGATTTGACTGGGTTTCCCAGCCACCCTACCATCAAATAAATACAAATGAAAGGGCTTGCACATATCAGTTACGGCATCATCAAGTGCCTCCCTGAAATCAGGGGCAACTGCTTGGCGATGGCACAGTTCACTCAGTGGGGTACCACAGCAGCTTTTTAAGGCTGGTCCAGGAGGCCCTACCCCCTTTTCAGGAGGGCCACGAGATCAAAACTATTCTCATAATAATACAATGACATTACTTGTCTCTTTCACTCTTATTCTCTCTCAAGTGCGTGGTGGTTGTCTAAGAGCTGCACTAAGTGTGGGATCCCCAATGACTGAATGGAGAAGCAGATATGAGAGTCCATCTTCTCTGAAGCCAGATGTTAAAGAGATCCAACAAATGTAAAACAGTGCCACTCCTCTCACTAATTTGTTTTTGTTTTAGAAAATGTAGTTATTTTTTTTCGTAAAAATGTGTTTTACGTTATCATGATATTAGATTACTGTTATTATAAACAAAGCAATAAATAACTATTTCAAATGGTCTCAGTGTTAATTTGTAACATGGTATCAATAGACGTAACGCATATTGAAAGAAGCTCTTCAGGGTTCCTGATAACTTTCAAGAGTGTGAAGGGGTCCTGATTCCAAAATGTTCGAGAAGCCCTGACTTACTATCTTCCTGTTAATATCTTCAGGGAAGGGGCCCTCAAGTATGGGTCCCCGAATTAAAAGAGAGCAAAGGGGAACGCACATCCTGGTACCCACCCTGACAGGATTCAGATCCCGGCTCTACCATTTAATAGGCTTTGAGACTTTTCTCAAGAGACTTACCCTCTCTGTGACTCAGTTTCTCAACTGTTACATGGACATGATGATAATTACAGTACCTACTTATCAGAGTACTTGTGAGAATCATGTAAATTAATATATGTAGAGTTAGAATGGGAGCTACAAGCAGGCAGAGATTCTCGTCTCTTTTTATCAATTCCTGGCACACACTAGGACCTTAATAAATGTTTGTTGGATGAATAAAGCAAGTAAGACAGTAATAAGCCCCATATAGGCATTAGGTTTAATTCTATCATTCTGTTTTTTTCACGCATATTTCCAATAGGTCGCTTTGGCACATCATGAATCTATGACTATCTGAGGGGACTAAAAGATAAGGGAGCTTGTTGAAGACGGATGTTGAGAGAGAACTTGCCAAGCTCATTGAGGTAGCCACCATGTTTCCAGTCCGCCGGCAGTGTTCCCGTGCAGTCTGCCACTGGGCCTCTTTTCCCAGGATTCACATTTTTCAGATTCACAAACAGCTGATTGTTCTTCGACTGTTAAGAATATAAACCGTCAAGGATGTAAAAAGAGAACACAGTGTTACAGATGTGGGAAAGCTCGTCCGTAGCATGGATCAAGGGCTGGTTCTTCAACGAGGCCATGCAGGGGGCAGAGGTGACTATCGGATGGGCCGTAAGGGCAGCAGGAATACATGTCGCTTGGCCCCAACTATTCCCCTACTTCCTCAAATTCTTCATTTCGTTTAGTCACTCTGTGCCCATTCGACTTTACTTGAGTTAACGTACGTGGAACTTTGAATTAAAAAAAGTTAAACTCTTGGTTTGAGCTCTCCTGTCAAACACGGTATGATTTTTTATGAGTCACCAGTGACTCTGAGCAGTTTTCTTAGCAATAAACATGAGGGTAAGATTACGTACTTTGCCTCCTTCCCTGAATATGTAGGAGAACAAATGCAATGATGAACACAAAAGTCTCTAGGGTATGGGAAGTGCTATTTAATGATTAGGCGCTATAATTAAAATCCAGCTGCATTAATTTAATTGCAACGGAATTAATTTGATTAGCTTGGTTTTCTTCTAGCAGAGAGCTAGAATGAGACAATGGAGATTGGAAATACATAATTTGGGACCGTCGGAAGAAATGCTTGGGATTTCCAAGGATTCTCGAGGAGACTGGGGGTGAGGTGAGTGGTATGGGAGGAGTATCCCTGGGTGTCCACCCTCTCTGGGTGCCTATAAACTGAGGATAACAATCACTCTTGAGTCACGGGATCGGTGTGAAGGTTAGATGAATTTATATTTGCAGACTGGTTAGAAATGCTTGGCACATGGTTTCTATTGGATCACTTTTGACCTACACAACGTGTAGTTCAACCTAAATCATTGCATGGAGTTTGTTTTGGGGAGGAAAGGACAGGAGGGCCCAATAGGGCACTAGAAGGCAGGTGGTCAGAAAAGACACAGGAAAAGACCCGGGATGGAGTCTGCTAAGGTCGGCTCTGAGACATCATTTTAAAACCTCAGGCAATATTAGAAACATTTTTCCAGGGAGCTACACTGGCAAATTGGAGACAAGGAGACCGTGACTCAGGCTGCAACCGCCTCCCTCACGAACTAGGGAGCTCTGTTTTGAAGTGAATGAAACCCCCCATTGCTCGGGTTTTTCACCAGTAAACTTGAGATTCTAATTAATACACAGTCAACAAGATAAGAGATATAAAGTGCGGAGAGCCGCATCTGGCCAACAGCCCCTCTCCCTCCATGCTCCTTCCTGTCCGCTCTCCCCTGCCCACCTTCAGGGCCTGGGAGTCACTTCCTCTCACCTTGGCGATGGTCATCCTGTCCCTGTTGTTGACATGAGGGGATGTGGCGCACTGGGTAAGCGTGTGGTAACTGGGGTTGGTGAAGTAATGGCTGTTCGCACTTCCCCCGTTGCTGTGGGGAAGGGTTTCTGTAAGAAGAGAAGGAAACGGTTAAGGCGACAGGATCCCCTAAGTCTGTGTGGATGAAAGGGAAGCCAAATACCCAGAATGAATGTCTGTACCACTTCCATATCACAGGCTGGGCAGAATCCCCTCCTGCCCAGCATACTCAGCAAAGCTTCTAGAAGCAGCAGGTGCCTGCCTTCCTACCTGCCTCCTAGAAAACTGCAAGTGTCCTCAGACAACTCCTCTTTGCTCTGGGGCTCATACACCTGGGAAGCCATCACTTTGAAGCTACTTCTGCTATAACCTGCCTCTTTTTTTTTTTTTTAGACACTTAAGCTTTCACCATAATATTCTGTGCTAGAAACACACTATTAAGCAAATCAGCTGCTTTAAGTATTCCCCTAGAATCGGTGTATTTATAAACATGTAACCCATCTGAAATCCTGCAGTAATTGCCCAAAATAATAAATACTTTAAGTGTACAAATTCCTTAGTTTAAGTAGTTTCTTCTTCTCCTTCTCTTTCTTCTCCTTCTCTTCTTCTCCTTCCTCTTCTTCTTCTTCTCCTTCCTCTCTACCTCCTCCTCCTTCTTCCTCTTTTTCTTCTCCTTCTTCTTCTTTTAGAGGGAGTGAGCATGTGTGAGAGTCGGGGAGGGGGGAGGCGCAGAGAGAGAATCTTAAGCAGACTCAATGCTCAATGTAGAACCTGATGCGGGGCTTGATCTCAAAACCCTGAGATCACAACCTGAGCCAAAATCAGGAGTCGGACGCTTAAACCGACTGAGCCACCCAAGCGCCCCTAAGTGGTTACTTCCTCTGATGAAGGAGCATGTCGCTTAAAAATTTACATTTCTGGGGACATGTGACAGAAAGATTTTAAAGAGTTTTCTTAAAGAACAGCTTTGGTTCTTGCTAATACAACAAAACTGTTTCTTATATCACTTTGTGCTTAATGATTTGTATGGGCCCAGGGGCAGGTTAGAAGGCACTCTGTTAAGAGCCCAAGGCCAGAGACAGAAGACCTGGTTCTCATCCCTGATTTGCACCATGACCTTACCAAACTTATGGGTGCCTCCTCCTCTCCGCTCCCAGTCCCGACATATGACAAAAGTTTAGGTGCCCAGCAAATCTTCCCGCAGGCTGAAATTCCCCAAGTCTAAAGCAACCTCATAATGAATCCAATTTAAAAACCCTCATGGAAGACAACAGTGACGATTTTCCTACTGCTAAGCTATAAAGCACGTCCATACCAATGTATCTTTTCCAAACACAAAGTTTTCTTCAAGGCTAACGGACAGCAGCAACGGACAGCCTAGCCACAAGCCCCAGTTTCAAAGAACCAGGATGAAACCTTCCTTCTCTAGGAATAAGATGGCGCCAGGGAGCAGTCTTACCTGAAATGGCATAGTCTGCATTCATGACCCTCAGAGCAGGGGTGTAGGTTACTGCTGGCATGCTCGATTCCTTTCCCTTCTGCTTTTGTCTATAAATAATGAACAAGGCCAGCAGGAAGAGAACCACCAGGACAAGAATGATGATGCCCACGATCGCGCCGATCTGGTAGGAATCAGCCGGGAGAGCCGTACTGGTCCTGCTTAAGCTGTTCAGATTTCCAACTATGATGACACTGGCTAGCAAAGGGAGAAGAGATCTGAGTAAGGACGACAGGGTGCCGGATAAACGCCTGAACTCTATTTACGAAATTCTCCCACTGGGCTCCTTCTGGGATATTTTCAGTTCATGAAAGGTTAATTTGGAAACTTTTAGAAACTGCAGGAAGGAAAAACAAACATTCTTCCTTTGCGGGTGTTGTTGGCTTGTCTGTGCCCAGAAAAAGGCCGCTCTAAGCCTCAAAAATGGGATTGGATTTCCTGCCCAAAGACTTCATGGTAGGGCTTGGGAGCTTCTCGCATGAAAACACTAAATAAACACTCAGACCAAACCAGGAATTCACTGGGGGTAATAATTTATCTAGTTTTTACCATGCTTTATTTATTGAGCAGTAGTAAGCTTATGAAGGGCTAACTTCTTTTTTTTTTTTTTAATTTTATTTATTTATTTGACAGAGAGAGAGGGACAGCACAAACAGGGGGAGCAGCAGAGGGAGAGGGAGAAGCAGGCTTCCTGCCAAGCAGGGAGCCCGATGCGGGGCTCGATCCCAGGACCCTGAGACCATGACCTGAGCCGAAGGCAGACACTTAACCGACTGAGCCACCCAGGCGCCCCTGAAGGGCTAACTTCTAAATGCCTCAACTGCCTAACTTAATTTTATGTCTATCTTTAGCATTTCTAAGAGTAATTGTCCTTCCAAGCAAGGATAACTCCATTGTAAATCTGGTCCAAGATGAGATAGGGCTGCCTTATCCTAATTTTAGTGGGCTTTTTACCCCAGGAGATATTGTTCTATGCAGTTATTTTCTATGACAGAAAGGTCTGTCCTAGTAACACCTGACAAGATCACCCAAAAAGCTTACTCATTAAAATTTAAACTGTAGCTTTACATAATTCTTTCTCGCATTCCATCCAATGAGGACAGGAAAGATATGAACTGTGAGTCAAGAAACTGGGTGTCTAAAAAATTGATCCAGAGATCCTGAATTTTCCTTTAAGCACTTAGGTCGGAATTTCACCATCTATCTATAAGGGAGGAAACTGGCCTCCAACCAGGTGCTTCCAGCTCAAACGTCTCTGTGACTTTATGATTCTGAGGTTTAGACTTCCTTATTAGACAGCCTGCCCCAAAACACAGAGCATGGAGGCCAGCGCCGTGTGGTCACAAGGCATGTGTCATAATGATGTGATTGTGGAATATAACACATCCTATTGTCAGGACAAATACAAATCACGAGCATGTAGAAGTTACTTAATGAAAGGAAATGAACTAGGAATGCGCACTTTAGTGCATACTTTAAGGTGATGGCACCTACAACATTATATGAATTTTCTAAAGCCCCTAGAGTGTTGCCTCCTGAGGAAAGCCCCACACATCAGGAGCTCTCTGGGAGCCATGCTTCGGAACCATCAGAAGAACTTTCTCAAAGGCCCCATCCACCCCAGAATCAGAATTGCCCACGTAGGATTATGTATAAGACAACTATTCTCAGATTATTGTGATACGCGCCCTAGTTAAAAACCACGGGCACAAGTTTTTTAAAAAGTTAAGCACATACCTAATCATACGAGCCGATCATTCTACACCTATAAATTTACCCAAGACAAACGGCACTATAGATATCTCCATACAAAGACTTGATACACTATTGTTCATATGAGCTTTATCTATAATAGCCCCAAACTGGAAACAATCCAAATGTCCATCTAGAGGTGAGTAAGTAAACAAATTACGATATACCCATGCAATGGAATACTACCCAGCAATAAAAAGAACTGAAGCGTTGATATATACAACAATACGGTTCAGCCTCAAAATGATTATGCTGAGCAAACAAACCCAGACAAAAGAGCACAGTGTGATTCTATTTACATGAAATCCTAAGCAATACAAACTCATCCCGAGTGACAGAAACTAGATCGGTGGTTGCCTGGGGCCTAGGGGGCAGTGGTGCAGGGAAGAGTATGAGGTACCATTTGGGGGTGATGGCTACATTCACTGTCTTTATTGTGGTTGGGGTTTCACGGGTGTATATGTCAGATTTCATCAGGTTGTACACCTTACGTTATACGTGTCGTATATATATATGTATACGTGTGTGTCTGTCTATCTATCTATCTATCTATCTGTAGTATACTAGCCTACACGTGTTGCTTTTTATAGGTTAGTTATACCTCCATAAAGGTGAAAACATGCGTAGGCACAGCGGAAAGCTCATGAGCTTTGGAATCAGAAAAACCTGGCATCTAAGCCCTGACCTACATACAGCTATGTACTCCATATTAGCTGTGCAACCTTGGGCAAATCACTCAGCCTCTCTGAGCTTTCATTTCCTCACCCGAAGGGCAGCAATGAGAAGGCATCCTTCTGGCAGCTAAATAACCAGCTGTGCCTTGCAGTGTCCTGAGGGGTGTTACATCAGATACTGTAGGAGCAAATACTTGACGTTGGCTGGTATGTGGTGGTTACGCAGTGCGAGGCACTCGTGTCCTTACCTTGATCGCATCGTGCCCCCTTCCAGCCTGGGCTGCAGTAACAGGTGCCGGTGATGTGGTCACAGGTGGAGTTGTTCAGACAGTCACATATCTGGCGACAGCCATAGCCATACGTTCCTGCAGGGCACTCTGAGAAGGAGATGAAAGTCCAATGTAAGCTCGCCAGCCTGGGGCAGCTGGGCAAGGCCGTCTCTTACTATTTGACCCCGTGTATCTAGAGGGCAGGCCTTCCAGGGCATCCTTGTGCAGGCGGAAGCACTCAGGGAGTCCTAGAGCTGGCAAGAATTCCCCGACTCGTGGGGGGGGGGCCTCCCATGCACAGGGCCAGAGACTGAGCTCCTGGCCACAGCTCCTGACTCCTTCAGCTTTTATGCACCCACTTCCGAGGGGTAAGTAGGGGAGTCTGTAGAACCCAGTGGGACGGATGAAGATCATCGGCAAGGGCAATCTGAGATGACCCCACTGGGCAAAACGGTGGGACAGAAGGCTGAAGACTATAAACCAGAGCCGCATCCTTGAGAACATGAGCATCGTACTGAAGGCTCAGTGATCCTCCTATGGGCACATTCTGACTTGGATTAGTTGGGAGCAGGGGACAAGGGAGGGGCAAGTTTTGGTAATGTTCTAGGTGAGAACTTCTTTTACCATAGAATGGCTCAAAATTGGGATGAGCAGGTTGAAGCCGGAGAGACTCAAATGGAGAGATTTTTATGAGGCACTCTTTTTTTTTTTTTAAAAGATTTTATTTATTTATTTGACAGAGAAAGACACAGCGAGAGAGGGAACACAAACGGGGAGTGGGAGAGGGAGAAGCAGACTCCCCGCCGAGCAGGGAGCCCGACGTGGGACTCGATCCCGGGACTCCAGGATCATGACCTGAGCCGAAGGCAATCGCTTAACCAACTGAGCCACCCAGGCGCCCTATGAGGCACTCTTAATAAGAGCTGGGTGTGGGTTTCAAAGAAGAGCATAGGCATGTCAGATCTAAACATCATCCCCAAATACTGATGTTTTCTGCAAAGTGGGCAGCAGGGGGCAATGTGCTATTGTTATTGGAGTTCTCTGTCAAACCCAGTGTTTCTGTTTACAAATGAGCATCAGGAGGGGTCTCCAAAAATAGGAACCTTTTGATTTGATGTTCAAAGTAATCACGGAAGGACTTAAGCAGCTTTTATTTAATAAGACCATAACTGGTCTGGGTTTCCAAGGGAAAGTCAGTTTAGAGTTTGTTCTGGTTTCTATGCATATACGTATGTGAACGTATGTTTAGACATTTATACACACAGATGCAAAATATTCCCATACACAAGGGGTGTGCAGGCAACTGTATGACTCAGTATGGGTTTCAGGATGAAATGAATACCAGTGCAAAACTCAAATTGGGTCATCTCTGTCCAGGCTGATTCCTGGAGGTCAGTCCTGTTGTGTGCTAGATAGGAAAATATGCAAAAATATTTCAAGAGTTCAGCACACAAGACCAAGACAACCTTGCTGTCTAGGGGTGCTGTGAGGTGCTGCTGGGGTGGAGAGAGGGTGATCGTTTACTGCCAAAGTCCTGTTATGCTGATTCACCTTTCCAGGCTACATTGCTCCTACAGCCATATAATCTTTGCTGCATCCTTCCCAGGAGCGCCCCCTCTGATAAGCAAGAAAGGTCCTGCCCCTTTCCTGCCATCTATGATAAGAGGCTGAGCCCCATACAGCTCTAAGACCCTATCTATTCATTCCGAATATTGAATGAAAGTCACAGAGGAAAGGAACAATCGACTACTTTGAAATACTCAGCCTAACACTACTTTTCTTATAACCCTACCGATGCATAGCTGTAGGGGCAAAAATGGCAAGACAAGGATGCGTAACTGCAACAGAGCATATTCTTCAGGAGTGCAATTCTTACAACAAAAAATTTTTAGGCAATATATTGTCTTGAAAGTTGTAAAGATTAAGATGTGAAGTTGCTAGGGGAAACGGTATCAAAGTACTATCTAGAGAAAGTTGTCAGAAGGGGGGCAACGTTTGCATGGACCTGGTTCTACACCCACAGTGGGGCTGGGAGCCCACATGCCCCCACCCCCGTGCACTCAGCCTGGCCCCAGACAATGCACTTTCGTCCAGGGTGCACTCCAGGCTCTGTCTCTGCCACAACGAAAACCTGACTGGCTCGTAAAGCTCTGAGCAGCCCCGTTCCAAAAATAAGCAGGAGAGTCAGAGAGAGCCAGGGTGAACAGATGGAAAACTTGAATTCTGTCTTCATCCTTGGAGTCACACCCCCTCCACCCAGAGTGCTGATGACTTACCCAGAAGAAGTTTGAGGGAAAAGACAGTCAGCAAGGACCCCCAGGTGGCCAGGTCTCTGGGAGGGGAACGGGTCAGCTGTGCTGGGAAGTGACCGGCCATCAGCTCAAACAACTTAAAAGTTGCAGGTCCTGCCTTCGTATTTTTCAGGCGGGTGGGAAAACGGGTTCTAGGGGGAAATACCACCTGGACGTGTCACGCTCACATACTCACTCTGTTCGCAGTGCTTCCCCATGAAGCCGGTGCGGCACGTGCACTGTCCCGAGATGTGGTCACAGTCGGCTCCATTTTGACAGTGACATATCAATGCACAATCCTTTCCATAAAACCCCAGAGGACATCCTGTGTTGGAGAGGGAAGGACATCAAAGTCAGGAGGCTGCTGAGGAAACAAGAGAAAAGCTCTTGCTTCCAACTGTTTGTGTTTAAACCTGAAGGACGCTGAGCCACTGGAGAGTGAATAAAGACAATAACGCAGATCTCAGCTTGTCACAAAGGCTTCTTTGAAGTCCCAGGATGGGGCTCCTGCAAGGAGGTCATAATTCATGAGCGGGAAGCAGAACAGTTCTACACCTGACAGTTTAACCCTTGCTGGTGCTCCCGGAGACAAGACGAGTATCTTCTAGCAAGGCATGCCTTCGACCCCACGGAAGTATCGGGGCGTTTCCGTGTGTTCTCTGACTCAACTACTAGACTCCAGGACTCAAGTGCGGTGGACCGAAATGAGCACTTTATATTAAAATCACGCGTACGCTTTTACTATAGTACAGAGTGTCTTTAAGTCCGCTATAGCTCCGTCCCCTGCATCTGTCACTAACTTAGATAATATTGGTTCCTTCACCAAAGGTGTGTAGTAGGATGCTAAACTTACAAAACAAAAAACAAAAAAAACCCCTGCACTTCACAGGTGCTTTGTAAAAAAGCAATAAACCTTACACCGCTGCCTGATTTCCAAAACCCAGACAGACCTCTGGGGCCTTTGGGCTGAGGACGTGCACGAGGCCTGTGAGCTGTCATGGACCAGCAGTTGCCCAGCAAGGGTGTTCAGGGCTCCCTGGCATAATGCAAGCTTCAGTACGGCCTGCGTGTAGGGCCATCTCTAAGTATCACATGGGATTTTTACTTTCCCTTTTTCTTGGAGACCTTTTAATGAAAGTTCAACTCTCAAGAAATAGAGGCACAGCACAGAGGTCAGCATGCGTGGACATTACCATCGCCATGTTTTTATCCAGCACGCACTCTGTGCCAGGTGCTTTCCATGCGTCCTCTTACTGAATCTGTACGGTAGTCCTACCTGTAGACGGGAACTAAGCCCTGAGGGCCCCCTCAGTCACAGAGCCAGCAAGTGGCAGCCTGGCCATGATAAAAATGCAGGCAAGTCTGGCTCCAGACCCCACGCTCTTCCCACCGTCTTCTGCTACGTCCACTTAAAAAGGTCCTCTGATTGAGGTAGACCCGAATTTTGGGATGATAAATAATAACTTATAAGCACTTTTCTCTAATGAGCTCGAAAACCTTTCTGCATGTACAATCTTGGCAGAATATGCTCGACACAAGCTCTCTCTTAGCCAACTCTCCCTTTCGAATCTCCCTAGAGAATCATGGTTCAAGGTCTACACCCCCTTCCAGAAAGTTCCAAAATTCTTGTACAACCTCTTCTCTAATTATGTTCTCTAATGAGTATTCAACAAGAATTGTCTAATTCCTGACCCATCTTTCCTTCTCAGCTCATTTCTGTGACTTACAATTATGTTATTATTAAAAATTTTTTTAAAGAATAAATTATAAATTTTCATTAATAATAACCATAATTTGTGCTTTCCTGTCTTGTCTCCCTTATTAATTTGAAGACAAGAGGACAGAGAAGAGTCTTTCCCCCCCCCCAACAGTGCTGAGCTGTGGAGTACTTTGCACATTATATGCTATGATGGTAAAAACCTCGCAGAAGAAGAAACGATTAGGACATTATGGGAAATAAAATGGAAAAAAGAACTAGTGGTTCTTAGGGCATGATCCCAGCCTGGCATCAGCTGTGGAAAGTTGTCAGAAATGTGAAATCTCAGGTCCCACCCCAGCCCCAGTGAATCACTCTGGGAGTGGGGCCAGCAGTCTGTGTGTATCGAGCCACCTGGTGATCCCGAAGCTCGCTCAAGTTTGAGAACCACAGAATGCACTCTTCTCCAAGAGCACGCATTATGTTAGGGAGTGAGGCTTGTCATCTTCACTGCCTTCTAGTCACTGTCTCTTACCCCAACCTTTGTGTTATTAGAATAAATGACAGGGTGTCCATCCACGTAACCACCACCCCAATTTGAAAAAATATATAGAACATTTTCATCACTCTCCATGCTCCTTCCCAATCAATAATCTTAACAGATCGATTTGTTTTTGATCTTCATATAAAAGGAATCACATACTAAAAACAGTGTATGTTTGTGTATATACATATACATATATATGCACACACATAAACATGTATATATAAATGATAGGGAGCTGGGTGCATATAAACAGGGTCTGGTTAAAAAAGAGTTAGGAGAGGGGGCACCTAGGTGGCTCAGATGGTTAAGCATCTGCCTTCGGCTCAGGTCATGATCCCGGGGTCCTGGGATCGAGCCCCACATCGGGCTCCTGGCTCGGCGGGGAGCCTGCTTCTCCCTTTCCCTCTGCCTCTCTCCCTGCTCATGCTCTCTCTCTCTCTCAAATGAATAAATAATCTTAAAAAAAAAAAAAGAGTTAGGAGAGAAGCCGCACAGCATCGCATCTAGCACTGCTCCACCTCAGTGTCCTGATAGATAGGACATACTGACAGAAAACTTGGGACGTGACAGCTCGTAACCACACAGAGACATTTAAACGTCTAGCGGTCATCAGGGAGAGGGAAGGTTCCAGTGCCAGGAGTCCTGGCTGAGCTCCGCTTGGGCATGCAAAGGGCGAGGCTGCAACCTCCTGGGCGGTGGCTCCCCTTGGGGAGCCTCAGAAGGCTGGTCGCTTACTCTGAGTGCAGTAGAGCCCCGTCCAGCCGGGAGTGCATTTACATTCCCCGTCGTAGGCGCTGCAGAAAGCTCCGTTGTGGCAGTTGCATGTGTGGATGCAGTTCGGGCCCCAGTGCGCAGGTGGACAAGCTGAAATCACAGCACGCATGGAGAGTTCTGTTAGAGCCCGGAGGTCAGCACCCAGCAGAGAGAGCTCCGTTCTCCTGCCGCATCTCCTAGCATGCGAGAGGTTAGCAGTGTGCCTCAGGACTAAGAAAGCACGGGGCTCCGAATCTGATCCCCAGATGGCAAGGCTGACTGCAAGAGCAACCATCATTACATTGTACTCATCAACAGACTGCAGAGTAAGGTGCTCAGAGCAACAATCATCTCAAGCGTATCGATCTAGTTCCTTAACAACTGCACATTGAGCTCCTTTGTGCCCAGCACCATTCTAGACACAGAAGGGATAGCAGGACAAGACAAGGTCCAGACCACCCTCTGAAACCTTATATTTTAGTAGGGGAGGCAGGCAGGCAAACCAGCCAACCAACCAGCCAGCCAGTCAACAGAGAACACAGTGGCAACAAGTACTATGAGAAAAAATAAAACAGGGTAATGGGGGAAGAATGACCAGAGCTAATCCTTCAGGGAAGGTTTCTCTGAAGAGAGGACATTTAAGCAGAGATCAGATGGGCTAATGATGGGACTCAAGAGAAACTAGGGGACCCAGGGTCACATAAAGTCATGCTCTACCCCAGAGTTGTCACTAGAGACTTGTTTAAATTTTAAGGTTTCAATTATATGTAAGAATCAGTTTACTCATAAAAACTCTTAATTGGATGATGCAGAAAATAAGAAAACAGAATCGTTGGGGGTCACTGCCCAATGAAGAGCAATAACTTCAGATAAAGTGTCTGTGAAATTGTGTAACATTATGGCATAAAATGATCTGATTTACCAAAAGCAAACAAACAAAAAAAACCCCCACAAAACACCTTTTTATTTATACCAATGCTTTAAGAATATAATTGCTTTAAATGAGGACCACCATTGGATCTACACAAGACAACAGATGTTAGCTGAACCTACTGTGGTGATCATTTCACGATATATCCACATCAAATCATCATGCTGTACACCTTAAGTTTATATAGTGATGTATGTCAATTACTTCTCAATAAAACCAGAGGGGAAAAAAAGGAGGACCATCTAGAATTTCTATTTGGTTACCCAGTAGGGCATATGGCCCCATAAAGATAATACATCTGAAGGAATTTTAAAAAATGGAAAAAAAAAAATTCTCCCATGAGTGTGTGCACCATTTTTGCCCAACAAGGGAAAATTAATAGCTGACACTTGAAGTCTGAAATAAAACTGAGAATGGACTTTCCTTATACAGTACCCTCATTTTACAGACAAAGAAGCCCTGAAAAGTGAATAAGCAAAATGCTACCTATCTAGGTTCTTCCTAAGACATACTTGGATTTAACATAGGAACATTGCATAGAGTTCTTAATGGGGAAAAAAGCCACTTAAAATTAAAATAATGTATATTATAATTATTCATATATTATTTCCTGATTACAGAAACACTCATACTTCCATCCTAAGGAATGTGAAAACAAACAAAGGTACACAGTTGTTCTCAAACAAGACTCACGTTGAGAGCAGTCACTGCCGATCCAACCCGGGTAACACTGACAAGATCGGTCAATGGGGTTACAGGTTCCATTGTTGGTACAGGTACAAACTCCTGCGCAGTTTTTCCCAAATCTGCCACTGGGACACACTGTGAATAAGTTATATCGGTCAGTAATGCACAATTACATCTCAGCTCATGGAACTCTAGTCCTGGGGCAGGAAACGACTTTGAAAGCCGTCCTCCCAGCAGCCCGTTCACTGACTGTCTCCACTCAACAGCATCCTTCATCTTGAGTGGGCTCATTTTTGCAGATATATGAAGCCGAAGATTCTCATGAAGGCATCCCAAACCAGGAGACATCATCACATGTCTAGAAATCTGACCTCATGGCCGCTCGCTTCAGAGAGTCAAAACCCTTCTTCCCTCTATGGATTTTTCATGGCAGGCTGTTTCCAATTAATACTGAATGAAGAGATTCTGCCGGAAAAGCAAGCTAGCTTTTCGGGAGCTCCTAGTCATATTTGCAGAACTTGAAGACACCGTGCACCAGCAGGCCCCGAGAGCTGAGAGCGGAAAATGTGACCCCGGGGAAGCCCAAGGACAGACTGCGTGCGGTTCACCCATCGCCGCACATCTCTCCAAAATACTTGCATGCCTCACCTTCATTGCAGAGGGCACCTGTGAAGCCAGGTAGGCAGTCACACAGGCCCGTGATGTGGTGGCAGGGCCCACTGCTATGCACACATTGTGGGCACGTCTGGCTGCAGCGATGCCCATAGAAACCAGGGGAGCAGACTGAAAGTAGAATGGAAATCAACAGTTATCGTTCCTGGGATATGTGCCTCTCAAATTCCACATCAGCATCTAGTTCCAGTTTGGGGCAAAAAAAAAAAAAAATTTTTTTTTAACAATATTGAGAATTTTCCAAGTATAAAACCACCACCATGGAAGGAAGAAGGATACCCTTTAATAATGAAAAGAAACCACTAGATGGGATTGCTCGAGGGCAGGCAAATGTCTCAGTCCTCTCAATTTTCTCAGTTATGGTCCTAGTTAACTTGAGGCATGACACAGAACGGGAGCTTGAAGAATTTTTGTTGAAGAAACAAACGAAAGGAAATACAATTCTAAAACCCCAAATAAATAACTCTCAAGCCATGTATCGATCCTTTATTCTTTAAGAGTCATTACTGGCTATAAATAGATCTCCGGTCTGCATTTAAAGGATTGTTCCTCCTCAACGTGGTCCAGATAAATCATGGTGATTGAAAGGGGATCAAGCAACAAAGCCTACATAATTAGGTCCTTCTCAAGCCGTTCCTCAGATTTAAATACAAGATGAATGCATAGGGCTTTTAATGAAAAAAAAAAAAAGTCATTTAAAAATTAGGATAAGATATCTTATAGTCATGTACTCTTTTCTTGATTACATTTACTGAAAAATTTAGTAAAATCTTCTGGATCCCTTCCTAACTTCAAAGTCCTATTGGCCCATGTCACCAGCCCCCATTTTTACCTCCACAGTGCTATTTTCCCCACAGCACCGGCTGGAAGACTACTAGCAGGATGTAGGATTTGCCGCAAGGTTTGGCTGATGTTGACTTCTGGTAATTGAGGTAAGGCCAATGCCAAAACTGCTGAATCAAATATTCACAGGTCAATGGATTTCTGGAACACCATTTGTAAGATTTAAGGCAGGATCAAGAGACCTATCCTGACGATGATGCCAGGGAGGCATCGAAATCATTCCTGAGAAGGAACGGCTAAAGCCCCATCTGTTAGGCTCGTCCTGCAGGTTGGAATGAATAAAGCTCTTGGGGCAGTGCTATCCAGGACAGCTCCGCAAGGGACAGGGAGACCTAGTATCCTCTGCCCTCGACTGCAACAGAACAGCACCATGCGCTGAGGGGTGGACGGTGCCTGAGAAGGGAAGGCAGACATCTCCCCCTCATGAGATACTTACTTCTCTGACAAGTGGTGCCTCGGAACCCTGGCGCACACTCACAGATGCCGTCGTCCGGGGAGCACGAAGCCCCGTTTTTACAGTAGCAGGGCAGAGAGCAGTTGGGGCCCCAGCGCCCCTCAGCACACACGCTGTCACAGTGGATGCCTGAAACAATGCACACGAGCAAGGCTGACTGAGAGGCAGCGCCTCTGGGATGCGAAGTCCCAGACGAGGACCACGGTCATGGTCCCCAAGCTGAGTGATCCCAGGCAACAGTGAGCGGAGATGGCGTAAGGTTTAAAATTCACTTACAGACGTCAGTACATCATCATATGTGGTGTAATCATGTATTGTGTCACCATAACATTAAAATAATCCCAGGATGGTTTTCCATGGAGTCATAAAAGAGCAGGAATAAAACACCTTTGTTAGGGACGCCTGGGTGGCTCAGTCGGTTGAGCCTCTGCCTTCGGCTCAGGTCATGATCCCAGGGTCCTGGGATCGAGTCCCGCATCGGGCTCCCTGCTCCACGGGGAGCCTGCTTCTCCCTCTGCCTCTGTCTCTCTCTCTGTCTCTCATGAATAAATAAATAAAATCTTTAAAAAAAAAACACAACACCTTTGTTATACTGATTTTCCTTTTTTTAGATGGAGGGAGCAAATGGGAAGCCCAAAGGCTCTTTCTATTAAAGGCAAAATTTATCAAAAAATATTTTATCATTGAGCCCTCAGCAATTTCCTTCTCCCCCCCACCACCATCCTTTATCTTTACAGAGAAATGAACAAAGCGTAAAAAGATAAAGAGGAGTAAAAAGTGGTTAAATTGTTTTACGTAAAGACAACCTTCGCCCTGGAGCAGACACCACCTTAAAACATTTTGATGATACATTGTATAGCATGGGAAGATACACTCCTTGGTGCCAGTAAATTCCTCTTTAAAAATTTCATCTGACACGGGGCAGATAAAGGCAGAATATCACAACTGATGTTATTTATAGCTGTTGTCTAAGTTATTGATTATTAGGATACTATATGTAGGTTTTTAACTCTCACCCCGGGAACAGAAACTCTAGAGCTGGTCGTGAATGAACAAATGCCTAAAGAAAACATAAGGGAAAAAACAAAGTCACAAAAATAAAAATAAAACCAGGTTTTTTTTGAGGTCAACAGAAGTCTCTTTGGTAAGTTTGCTTTTGAAATACAACAGGCACCTCTTTCTTGTAAGTCAGAATTCTCCGCAACTCAAAGACATGCTCTCTGCATTGAGAAGCAATGAGTTGTAATTGGTAGTGAACTGGCGACGGCTGGCTTCGGACCAAGGGAAAACACAGGAAGAACAAGCACGCACACACTCAGGGATTCCAGAACGCTGTCACCACCCAGCACCAAGGAAGCTGAGAAAGGCATGTTTTGTATTACAGTTTTTGCTTCTATGGCCCAAACCTTAAAACAGGAGCAGCCCCAAACCATAACGTGAACATGGCTGATTGGTCCAGTGTCATTTCTGCTGAGCTGTAACTCTGCTTTTGACTGTTCCCGGTTTTCTCCTCCCGAAAGTCTCGCACTTGGTAAAGGCTGTTAAGTAGGCATGAAAGCGCACAGACCTCATTGTGTCTAGCTTGAGCCAACAATAGACGATTATTTGAGCTTGTGCTACTGGCAGAAGGAGGAGATCAGACCTGTTATAAACTGACCTGGGTTTAAGGATTCCCTACAGAATAAAATACAGAATTATGGCCTACTGTGATTTTTTTTTCTTGAGTTCACGAACATATGATCTTTTTTTTTTTTTAAACCCTCTTTTGAAAAGGTAAGTGGAATGGCATTCAAATGCTATGCTCACCAAATGTGATCCACCAGCTATAGAGTTGTATCTGGTGTTTTGGCTGGTACCTATACAAGGCAGAGCATCCAACATACTGAGGAATAAACCACTTCAAAAGGAGGCTGCAAACCTAAATTTTGTTTAGTGAGTCTGAAGGAAGTATCAACAAGGGTAACTTGTGACAGGCTTCACTCTGTTCAAATTCAGGTCCTGAGCTCTGACCACGAGCCAGGACTCCTATTTAATGGCAGCTAAGATGGGGACACCCGCTTCACAGATACTCAGACAACCCTGGCCATTTGGGTTTAGAGCCATTCATGCAAATCCCAGTTAGGATTTTGGAGACGTGGAAGCTGAGTTCATCTGAAAATCATCCTGAAAATTAGTCCTCATTTTTGGCACATTCTTGTGGGGTGGGAGCTTGAGGAAGGGGAGATTTAGCCATTCATGGTGATTTGGTTATTAGCTTCTTGCCAAATCTCTCCTTCGCATTAAATAAATGCAGTGAAGTTGGAATGGAGCACACTTTAGGTCAAAATTATCTGCTGCTTTTTTACATTATAGATTATCATCATTTATATATGACTTAGCACATTCTCAATCAGAGCATGTTAAGAAAAATGACTCCAGGGCAGATTGGCAAATCTGAATAAAGTGATCCTTTATTTCATATCTGACTCGTCCTCCCTAATAGGTTTGTCCAACTGGATAACATAACCATCTGTCATAATCAACTTTATCGAGGTAATTTTCCTAGAGTAACAGGGCCCATGATATAGCAAAGAGATCCATTACAATGATATGCTTGTTTCACATGATTTACCCATGATTTCATTTCCAGAGAATCACAAGGAATTCTAGAGATCATCTATCAAATCTTCTGTTTCCAATCGTATAAGCATATTTCAGCTGAACCAAGCTTACTTTTAAAGATCTTTTATTTCAGGATTGCAAATAAGTCTTTCTTTAAAGAGTAAATTATAATAATTCTATTACCAACTTCCCCTAAAAATTCAATCCCTCTTCTTTTTCTCTACCATCAGTTAAAATGAGTCATCATTTTTCAGATATTAATGCTTAATCTATTTGTAGACAAACATAAAGTATGAAGCTGCATTTTTTCCTCTTGCTGTCCCATTTTCTCCTATTGCTACTCCTCCCCTTCAGAGCTCTGTGGGGGGAGCTGTTATCTTTCCCTTCCTCTTAGAGTCAAGAAGAGATGAGATAAATTGATTATTATTGAGTTGTTACCTTCTCCAGAGAATACTTATATTTTAAGGAAATAAGCATGTGAGGAGCCTAAGAAATAAATCTCTAATTGTGAAATACCAGGCAGTGAGGGTCAGAGAGTGGGTAACTGGATAATCGCTTCTCTAGATTACACTAGGTATATGGTTACTGATGTGACCTCTGTGTAAGGCTAACCCTGCAGAACAATTTTTTTCAGGATAGGGCATTATAAGTTTGCTTTAACCATTTTTTTTTTAGTGTGTGTGTTATTCTTAAATTATTTCCACTGATTTCGCCCCAATCTTTGCAAACTCGGCTGGAGTCCTACAAGACATTTTGCTGTTTCCTGTTTTAATCAAAGACAGAAAAAAGAATTCAACTTAATCAACATTCAAGAAGTCCAGCGGCTACTGGCTTACTGGTGATAGGTTCTCTAAGAAAGACCTCTAACTGTAGAATGATAACGGCCCAGGAATAAGCACCCCTAACTCTGTCTGGGGATCAGAGTCAGAACAGGAAATAGCTTGTGAAGGTGGACAAGGGTTCCAAGCTAATGGAATGGTGGGTGTGAGACTCAGATGTCCAAAGAAGTACAGGCAAGTTGAGGACAGCTAAAACTGGGGTTGGGAAGAACAGGACAGGTCTTTGGGCAGCCAGGTCGTGGTACGTAAAGGAAGCCAAGAACGCCATGCTGTGGAGTGTGAGCTTCCCCCTTGGGGGTGACAGGGACCAAATGGACAATTAAGTAGGAGAAGCACATAGTTAAATTTGTGGTTGGCAGGAGGGCAGAAGCCAGTATGAGGAGAATGAGCCTGGAAGAGAGACCTGTGTGGGTGGCTGTTGTAGGTTATGCAGGTAAAAAAAAAAAAAAAAAAAGATAAACATGACAGTCTTAAACTAAGTCGTTGGCAGTTGGAATGCAAAGAGGATAAATTCCAGAGTAATGCAAGAGAGAATGGACATGAAAAATCTATACCTGCTCCCCGCCCCCCCCACATTCCACACAGGGTAATGAATGAATTCTGTCAGCTCCCTGAAAGAGAGTTGGGGGTTTTGCTCACTACAGTGCCTAGCACATGGAGGGTGTTAAAGATTTGTTGAATGTATCAATAAGCACAGTCTCTCTTTCCAACACGATATTCAGAACCATTTTCCAACTGGATGGAGCAACCATATAATTCTCTCTTTCCTGAAAGAAGTGACGAGAAGCACATGCAAACCAGGGAACCCAGCATATTTCTATTTTGTGTGCCTAAAATGGTGACCCTTCCCATCTAAGGGTGTAGAAATGTCTGCCTTACAGATTTTGGAGAAGATATACCTTCATGAGCTCAGGTCTGTGTTTTTTAATGCTAGCCCAGATTATAAAGCAATAGAAGAATTATGGAGGCATCTTGAAGAAATTCTTTTGGAATGTTTACCAAAGAACACATAAAGGTTCTAATAGGAATTACTTCAGGAAGCAACTCCCTAACACATTTGGAAGAGGGGACAAAATGGGAAGGGGGTATCTTTAAATTTGAGGGGATCTCTGGTTCAATGGAAGCTTTTTTTCCTGATAAACGTTCTAACGCTGATAAGGCGATCTGTGAGGGACTGTTTTTGCCAGGACTGAGGACAAAGAGTTCTTTGATAGCCTTCCCAAGTTGCTAGGCAATGGCTGAATGATCGTGATAAACTTCAGCTAAGCAGCTCTAAAGAAATGTTCATGCATTTCATGCCTGATGCATTATGCCAGCAGCCTCAATGTGAAACCAGCATTCACTAGGCATTTGTGATTGCATGAATACGGTAAAATAAATCATCTGGGGTGTCATTACTTCTCCCTCTCAGAGATAGAACCCAAACTCCTCGTCTTGCTAATTGTTCATATTCCTTCTGCAATCTTTGGGGGCATTAGTGAACGGAGGACGTGATTTCAATTCAGTGTCTGGTTCCTGAGCAACAAGCTATTAAACATATATTAGAGCGAAGAGAGAGATTTGTTAATAATAATTGGGCTTGATGATTATAGAAGAGAAGAACCACAGTATAGAATCATAATACTTTTTCTGCTTTTCTAATCCTCTTGCTAACAAAGCAGCTGCTTACTGTTGGCGTAGAGATGGTAT